GAAGATCATTAAGTCAGAAGAGTCTTCTCAGACTCTGAAGTGATCTAACAGTCAAAACCAACATACTTTTTTTTTGGGGGGGGGTTGCTATAGGGCACATGCGCTCACCAGACAGAGACAGAGAGACAGAAAGTGAGAAATCACCCCCCGGGGGGATGGCCATGCCACAATCCCTTCTCCTCTGTTCTTCTCTCGGGATCTTGGGCACGCACGCACACGCGCCTGGCGTGAGTTTAAGCCACTGGGTCTGGGACTCGAACCGCGGTCTTCTACGTGGGAGTCCAGGGACATAGCCATTACACCAACTGCTGGTCCCAAAACCAACATACTCTTCAAAACCTGTTTATTCTGGTAACAAATTTTCGAAATGGGCCTAAAATTTTGCCTCTGATTACTGACATGTCTACAGATTTGGAATCATTAATTAAAGATGCATTTCTCCCATGCAAAAAAGCAAAGTGTGGTAATTTTTAAAAAGAATCATTTTATTTAACTTTACTTATTTACTTACTAATTTATTTATTTATTTATTATAATCTGACCAGAGAGGGGGAGAGAGAAAGAAAAAAATGAGAAAGCAAGTCATCAGGTCTGGGACTGGTACCGTGGTATGCCATGTGGGAGTCCAGTGCCCTTAACCACCATGTCACTTGCAGGTGCCAATGTGATATATATATTTTATTATTTTAATTTGACTCATCATTAATTTTATTTATTCATTCATTTGTTTTAATTAGACCAGAGAGAGACTGAGAGAAAGAGAAAGTGAGAAAGCAAGCCACCAAGCCTGAGATTTGAACCTGGTTTGGCCATGTGGGACTGTCCAGCACCTTAACCACCACACCACCCACTGGTCCCCTCCAATGTGGTATTTTTAAAGATGAAAATTCAATCAATCTGTGATGAAGATGTTATCCCAGAATGCCCAAAACATAGTCAAATAAGACAAATTAAAGAAAAATCACAGATATTCATCACCATACTTCAGTCATGCTGATATTCTACTAAATACTTCAAAGATATTACTATGTCAAATAATGTGATATCTGACTTTTTTTCGTTACTCAAAAGTTCTCGTAATCAATGGCATTTAAGTTAAAAGCATAAGGTTTATTCAAAGTTACAATTATACAAACTATAACCTTAAAGACATATATGTTTTGCATTCGTATTAATACACAGATAAACCCCTCGGAAAATTTTATTAGAAAAATAATTTTTTATTTACTAAATCTTATTATTTTGGGAAGCAGCTCTGCACCTTTTACTTAGGTGACTTGCTATCCCAGGATAATTATACACGGGGAATGAGACTCAACAATTTACGCTTTTTATAAAAGCAAGAGCAAAGAACAGAGGCACTCCTTTGTACCTAATAACAAAAAAGAAAACAGTAATTAAAAAAAAAACTTGAAATATACAAGGATTTTCTTGGGCAGTGTAAGCCTCGAGCATTAAAAAAACGTGTGTAAATCTGATCCCCGGGGACCGTGCCACTGACAAGTCATTCAACTTTCTTTTTAATATTCCCATTGTGCTTTCTTTCTGGTGCATAGGCAAGATGTACCTACATCTCACAGACCACTCGGAGTGTCTTCTTTTTTGAAAATGCTCCCCTGAAAGGCTGGGCAGCTCGGAGCACCGGCTCTAAACCACCGGAGAGAACCACGCACGGCACCCGCTCCTGGCAGGCCTGCTGTGGCCGGTTCCCCAGTCCCTGGGGCTGCAAGAGCAGCTGGAGCAGCGGCAGCAGCAGCCATGGCAGGGACTCGGAAACCTTTCCCCTGCCTCCTGCACTAGGCCTCGAGGGGTTTGCTTTTCACATGGCCCCCGGGTGGGGGCGGTGGGCGCAAAGTAGAGACTGCAGCCACCGCCGCAGCAGAGGGCCAGGGAGCCGGGCTCCCTCAGAACCAGACCTCCAGGCGGGCTGGCAGAGACAGAACGTCCAAGGGGCGCCGACGGCTCGGCAGGAAGGCCACCTTCTCACACACATCTGTCCCCTGACTGCCTCCTTCTCCGTTAGCGCTACCGGTTGGCGGGCGGGGGAGGGGAGAGAGGCGCGTTATTCCCGGGGACCGGGGGGGAGGGGAGGACATCTCTTACCCGCGTTACTGAGGAGGCGGAAGAGGCGGCTGGTGCGCGGCGCGGCGGGGCGACGGCGGGGCTGGGTGGGTGCAAGTGAGAGTCTTACGAAAGGGAATTAACCCCATCACCAGCCCGGACCCGCCCCCGGTCCCGGGCGCCGCCCGCGGCTGGCAGAACCCCGCCCCTTCCCACCACGCACTAGCCCCGCCTCCTAGTTCTCTTTGCAGGATAGGCAACTAATCATAGGTTGGCCATTCGTTGATTGACATGAGAACACCCCAATCGTGCTTGAAAAACCTGCCTTCTCTCCACCCCTTCATCTCCTCCTGGGCCGCGGGAGAGCCGTGCCAAGTCTTTCTCCACCCTCCAGGGAAAAAGAACCAATCCGAGGTAAGTAACCGCCCTTGAAGGACGCAAAATACAACCAATGGTAAAACCAGGAGGACAGCCATTTTGCCCACTTGTAAAAGAGCCACCTTTTCCCACGAGTTATAGCCCGAGGTGGGGCAGTTCCGGGAGTTTTTACTGACCTGGAGAGATTTAAGAGACAACTGTATTTATCTGTATTTCTACAGCGAGTATTTATAATACCCTACAGGGATGAGGGTAAATGTTCATTCTCCATGTGGGGAGAAGCGCGGCATGCTGCTAATGGTTAGGCTCCTCCCCTTAGCGGTAAAAGGTTCTAAGCCTAACACCTGGTTGCTCCAGCGTCTGCGGCGGAAGGCGGGGTGATTGCTTCTGTCGGCTTGAACTAACTACAATTCCCAGCGTGCTTTGCCCCCTTGCCCTCATCCTCTGTTAGTTTCCGCGGGACCTGACGGGAATTGTAGTTCCTGTAGCGTACTCATGCCGCCTCTTTGGCCAATGATAAGGGCAAAGTTTTGAATGATTTGGAGTTTGGGCTAAGAATGCGTTGTCGCAAGTCTGTGGTGAAACCTTTATATCACCCTAACAGTGGAGCGGAGGGATAAAGGAGGTCAGGGGAATTTTTTCAAACCCCGTGAGGGTTTACATTGCTGGTATTTGAGCGCCCCTACTTTCGGAGCGTGCCTTTTGACGTCACTTCCGCTCAGGGCGGTCACATCCCAAACCTGTGGCGCGAGTTGGAGGTTTTGCTGCTAATCCTCCAGGTGTGTCCGGCTGGGAGTGCGAGTGTCGTGGCGGGCAAGTAGCTAATTTTCTTGCGCAGCGATAGGAAGTTGAACAGAATTTAGTTATATTTTAAGAAAGAACGGGATAGGGGCAATTCCCGAGTCCTTAATGTCATTCTCCATCCTTAGTCTTCAATCCCGGGGTCCCATATTTCTTTGCCCGCTTGCTGTCAGAGTGCACCCATGTATTTGTGGATAGTGCCTCTCATACTTTTAACTGCTCTGCGTGATGCCTGGCTTCGCGTCATCAGTTCGACAAAAAAAGAAAAAAGTGGGCTTAAAAGTTCTGAGCTGACTCCTCCCCCTTTTGCAAAAACACTTAAGTGTGCTTTGAAGGAGAAAGCCACAGGACTCAAGATTGATCGTCTAGAAGGTCCAGTCACCTTTCAGTAACTTTCTCAATCAAGTGGCCACAAGTTGCCACCTATCGTACACCAATGAGTAAAGGAATCATACAAACAAAACCTTAGGAATTCGGAGTTTTAGCACATTAGACCCTGGTTTATGCCACCTTCTTCGGGACTTAAGATTAAGAGCACATGTACTGTTAGGCATTCCATTTGAAGTCCTCAGGGGAACTCACTGAATGAGTGAAAGAGGTGCCAGAGGCCTTCCCTCCCCTCATGATGCCACTCATTCTTAAAATCTTTCCCCCAAATTTTGACTCAGACATACTTACATAAATTCAAACTCAGTTTGCCCCGTGATTTACTGAGACTTTGTCTCTTAAATCCACTCGTAAGTATTTGTTGAGCACTTATACTGTATTAGGCACTTGACCAGTCTTTTGAGCAGTGCCAAAAATATTTCTTATATGAAAGCTGTGAGAGAGAGACTAAACACAGTGAATGGCAATACTACTTGTTCTTTGCTTTCCAAATTCGTCTTATGTTTAGTGTGTTTATTTGATCTGTTTGTATTTTACTTTTAGATTAAATTAAGCATATTTTCTTCTTTTCATTATTTTTACCGAAGTATTATTTGGTATGTGTCCAGTATTGATGAGTGATGTTTAATGCAGCAAGTAGGTGATAAGTGTTATAGCATAATCCTTATAGAAATGTAACTATTGCTTTTAGCCAGATGATTTTGTGGATATCTTGCTTTGTAAAGCAGCTAGGCTTTTCATTGATAATTTAGCTGCTTAGTTTGGTTTTGTTGTGGGGAGTTTTTTTGTAAATGCCGTAATTAAATTGTTCGCTGTCATTTTATTGAATGTTTTCATTGAGCCACTAATGATGTTCTTCTTCTAAAAATATATTCTTCTTCTTCTAAAAATATATTCATTGTCATTTATTATTATTATTATTATTATTATCTATTTTATTGAAGTTGATGGAAGAGAGACAGAAAGAAAGAAGGAAAGTGAGAAAGCAAACTGCCAGGTCCAGGAGTCCAGCCGCCCCAACCACCACACTACCTGCTGCCTCCCTCCTTTTTTTCTTTGTTTTGGAGAGACTTTTTGCTATAGAGCCATGAACTCGCCAGAGAGACAGAGACAGAAACAGAAAGCGAGAAATCACCTCCCCCAGGAGAGATGGCCATGGCACAATCCCTTCTCCTCCATTCTTCTCTGGGAGTTTATTTGAATGATTTGGAGTTTGGGCTAAGAATGCGTTGTCGCAAGTCTGTGGTGAAACCTTTATATCACCCTAACAGTGGAGCGGAGGGATAAAGGAGGTCAGGGGAATTTTTTCAAACCCCGTGAGGGTTTACATTGCTGGTATTTGAGCGCCCCTACTTTCGGAGCGTGCCTTTTGACGTCACTTCCGCTCAGGGCGGTCACATCCCAAACCTGTGGCGCGAGTTGGAGGTTTTGCTGCTAATCCTCCAGGTGTGTCCGGCTGGGAGTGCGAGTGTCGTGGCGGGCAAGTAGCTAATTTTCTTGCGCAGCGATAGGAAGTTGAACAGAATTTAGTTATATTTTAAGAAAGAACGGGATAGGGGCAATTCCCGAGTCCTTAATGTCATTCTCCATCCTTAGTCTTCAATCCCGGGGTCCCATATTTCTTTGCCCGCTTGCTGTCAGAGTGCACCTATGTATTTGTGGATAGTGCCTCTCATACTTTTAACTGCTCTGCGTGATGCCTGGCTTCGCGTCATCAGTTCGACAAAAAAAGAAAAAAGTGGGCTTAAAAGTTCTGAGCTGACTCCTCCCCCTTTTGCAAAAACACTTAAGTGTGCTTTGAAGGAGAAAGCCACAGGACTCAAGATTGATCGTCTAGAAGGTCCAGTCACCTTTCAGTAACTTTCTCAATCAAGTGGCCACAAGTTGCCACCTATCGTACACCAATGAGTAAAGGAATCATACAAACAAAACCTTAGGAATTCGGAGTTTTAGCACATTAGACCCTGGTTTATGCCACCTTCTTCGGGACTTAAGATTAAGAGCACATGTACTGTTAGGCATTCCATTTGAAGTCCTCAGGGGAACTCACTGAATGAGTGAAAGAGGTGCCAGAGGCCTTCCCTCCCCTCATGATGCCACTCATTCTTAAAATCTTTCCCCCAAATTTTGACTCAGACATACTTACATAAATTCAAACTCAGTTTGCCCCGTGATTTACTGAGACTTTGTCTCTTAAATCCACTCGTAAGTATTTGTTGAGCACTTATACTGTATTAGGCACTTGACCAGTCTTTTGAGCAGTGCCAAAAATATTTCTTATATGAAAGCTGTGAGAGAGAGACTAAACACAGTGAATGGCAATACTACTTGTTCTTTGCTTTCCAAATTCGTCTTATGTTTAGTGTGTTTATTTGATCTGTTTGTATTTTACTTTTAGATTAAATTAAGCATATTTTGTTCTTTTCATTATTTTTACCGAAGTATTATTTGGTATGTGTCCAGTATTGATGAGTGATGTTTAATGCAGCAAGTAGGTGATAAGTGTTATAGCATAATCCTTATAGAAATGTAACTATTGCTTTTAGCCAGATGATTTTGTGGATATCTTGCTTTGTAAAGCAGCTAGGCTTTTCATTGATAATTTAGCTGCTTAGTTTGGTTTTGTTGTGGGGAGCTCTTCCGATGTAAATGACGTAATTAAATAGTTCGCTGTCATTTTATTGAATGTTTTCATTGAGCCACTAATGATGTTCTTCTTCTAAAAATATATTCTTCTTCTTCTAAAAATATATTCATTGTCATTTATTATTATTATTATTATTATTATCTATTTTATTGAAGTTGATGGAAGAGAGACAGAAAGAAAGAAGGAAAGTGAGAAAGCAAACTGCCAGGTCCAGGAGTCCAGCCGCCCCAACCACCACACTACCTGCTGCCTCCCTCCTTTTTTTCTTTGTTTTGGAGAGACTTTTTGCTATAGAGCCATGAACTCGCCAGAGAGACAGAGACAGAAACAGAAAGCGAGAAATCACCTCCCCCAGGAGAGATGGCCATGGCACAATCCCTTCTCCTCCATTCTTCTCTGGGAGTTTAGGCATGCACACACAAGCTCCCAGCATGAGTTTTAAGCCACCAGGTCCGGCACTTGAACCACTGTCTACCACATGGGAGTCCAGCGATGTAACCATGGCGCCATCTGTTGATCCTAGTACATTTTTCTTGAAACGACCTGTAAACATTATCTGATGTTTCATAGTTGAAGAAATTGGGCTTCAGTATAGTTACCTAAGACTTTAAGGCTGAGGTGCTTAATCTAATCAATAGATTTTGTAATTCAAATTCATATCTAGATCTGTTTGATTCTTGAATTCTTGATCACTGCTCATCCTGCCTCTTAGATGTTTCTTAATTCCTCAGTATGTGCCAGACACATAGTGAAAAAAAACATAAAATTCCATCCTAGGTTTCTGGAACCAATAGTGGCAATTACTTCCTCTTTTAGGCCATTCTTTGCCATGTAGTTAATACGTACTCATTGTGTTTAAAAACACAGGAAAATATAAAAAAGAAAGGTCATCAGCAATCTTATTACCCTGAGATACCACTGTTTATAGATAACTCTCTCTCTCTTTATTTATTATTATTTTTTTTTTGGAGAGGTTTTTGCTACAGGATGCGTGCACTCGCTAAATAGAGACAGGGAGATAAAGAGACAAAAAGTGAGAAATCACCCCCCCGGGGGGATGGCCACGCCACAATCTCTTCTCCTCCATTCTCCTTGGGATCTTGGGCACGCACACACACACGCGCCTGGTGTGAGTTTAAGCCACCAGGTCTGGGACTCAAACCGCGGTCTACTACTTGGGAGTTCAGCGACATAGTCATTACGCTAACTGCTGGTCACAAGCATCTATTTATTTTTCTATTTTCAAGCCACCATGTTTGGGACTTGAACCATGGTCAACCATGTGGGAATCTAGTGCTTAATGACCACACTATCTGCTGGTCCCCCACCCCCTTTTTTTTTAAAGGTAGTTTGGGTACTATTTTAATGATTTTTATGATTCTGATTTTCTTGATTTTCTTTGGACACTGTTCTGTGTTCATAGTTATGCCTTTCCATTGACTTGTACCATACCCATGATTATTTTTTAAATTTTTATTTTTTTAAAGAATTACTTTGTTTTGACCAGAAAGGAACAGAGCCAGAGAGAGCGAGGGAGAGAAAGAGAGAGAAAGTGAGAAGGCAAGCCGCCAGGTGCGGGACTTGAACCATGGTCGGCTGGCCATATGGAGTCTAGCGCCCTTAACCACCACGCCATCTACTGGCCCCATACCCATCATTTTAATTTCTGTACCTTTATATTTGCTGTTTAATAGGTACATTGTGGTCCCAACTTTTTCTGATATTTTCTTGTCACTTTCAGCTTTCCGTTTTAGAATAATTTCCTCAAGTTAAAAATTAAATCTCTGCATATTTATGTTTTAAGAAGATTCAAGTTTGACATTTACGTAGATACTGAGTACTACTTCTTAAAGGAAGGTGCATAATACACTTCATATTAAAAATGCACAATATACCATAGGTATTGTTGAGACTCAGTGGGTCTGTGCTTTATTGAAACATGTTTTCATTTCATGTTTTCATTACAGATTTGATATAAATCGGTTCAAGAGCATACTTTATTTTTTACCCCTTTCTTTTTTTCTTTAGAATTATTTAATTTTATTCATCATTATTATTTTTTTAATTTGACCAGAGAGAGAAAAAGTGAGAAAGCAAGCCACCAGGTCCAGGACTCAAACCATGGTCAACAATGTGAGAGCCCAACACCTTAACCACTATGCCACTTGCTGGCCCTCTCATATTTTTTATATTAAGTAGTCACTGGAGATGTGGCCTGCTGTATTCAGGGACCAAGGTGACTGAATCTCTGCTCTAAACCCCATCTTCCAGACCCCCCCAAAAAACCTCAGACAGAAGTAATTTAAATCTGAGGTGTGGCCTCTGTGTTTAGGGCCAAGGCAGCTGAATCGGCTTCAGAGATTCAGAAACCCCATCTTCCAGGCATCCCTCTGCCCCCCCCTTTTCTGCTCTAAACCTGATTTTCTATACCCTTACCCCAAAAAAAACAAAAACAAAAACAAAACTCAGACAGATAAGGCAACCTCTGTCTTCTTTCTGTCTTTGTCTGTCTCTCCCATTAAATTTTTCTTTTTTAACTTTTTTTTTCTTTATTTTCAAAATACTTCTTGTCACATCTGACCTCTCCTCTCTCTTGCTAATTTCAGAAGTCATTTTTGCTTTTTAAGAAGAAAATTTTCCTGTTTTTGGTTGTTTTTGTTTTGGTTGTTTTTTCCTTTTCCCCCCTTACTTTCTTACTCTGCTGTTCAGCCTCTAGGCACTGTCTATACAGGCCTAGGTGCATATTAGCCAAGCATCTGAATACTTTTAGGTTATGGAAATCTTCAACCCCTACTGAACCTGCTGCCTGAAGGAAGAAACTCTTCTATATAAATCTGAACTCAAAATCTCTTTTTGTGGATACTATGTTGCAAAATTGTCAGAGAAATACCTCACACTAAAGGCAGCACATGACTTTACTGTTGCAGAAATCTTCTCTAAGCAATTAGCCAAAAGTGAGTACACCACCAAATGACAAAAATTCAGAGACTAGACTGCAGAGTGAGTAGCAGGGAGAAGTATAGACCTGTAGAGAGTGCAGCTCATCTCCTCCCACATGCTTCTGAACTCTTAGTTGAAACCCCACAGCTCAGCCCAAGTGCACCTATTCCGTAGAAACTGTGAGACCTTTGGGGCCGGCAGGTGGTGTGGTGGTTAAGGGCATTGGACTCCCACATGGTTGACTGTGGTTCGAGTCCCAGACCTGGCAGCTTGCTTTCTTACTTTTCCTCTCTCACTTTGTCCCTCTCTGGTCAAATTAAAATAAATAAATATATAAAGTTAAATTTAAAAAAAAAGAAAGAAACTGTGAAACCTTTGTAATATCCAGTTCCAAAGACAGAAGTACAGGTTGCTTGGTGAGCATCAGGGAAACAGAATTACAGAGAGATTGCTGGTCACCTTCTACCGCAGACCTCTGAATGCTTAGATTTAACTCCAAGAAATAAAGAAGAAACATATAATCCATCAGGTGACCAGAAACCACTGCAGAGGCGCAGAAATATGAAAAACTAAGAAAATAGTTCTCCCCCAAGGGAAAAGAAAAATCCTTCATTATCCACAGATAGTACAATGGAATTTGTGGAAATATCCAGTAAAGAATTCAGAATATTCATAGTGACAAAACTAAATGAGATGCAAGAGAAGAGGGACAACTCTAGAAGGTCTAAGAGAAAAGAGAACAAGTTCCAGGAGGTGAGGAAGTTCTTTCATAATTTGAAAGAAAAAAATACATGCCATAGAAAAGAATCTAAGAGGGACCAGCAGTTAGCGTAATGGCTATGTCGCTGGACTCCCATGT